CGCCAACCATTTTGATGCACTCCCCCCCAAAGGGAAAGCTAATTCGGGAACTGGACCGTAGTCCACAGCAAAATAACTGGCGAACCAGTAAAAGAGGCTTGGCCTCTTGCTAGTGCGTAAGCACAAACATCGACCGAAGTCGCGCATGTCAATGCGTGTAAACGCCAAACAGAATACGAACGAATCCAGCCACAGTGAATGTACGTCACACGGTTTAGGCAAATAGGCACACTGGCCGTAAACCCTCCGTGAGCGCCACCACCTGCCAGACCGCCGCTCCTGCAGACGTGATGTAAGTGTATGGCATCACCACCAATTGCATGATCAGCACGGCTACTAGCCGCAGAGCGTGTCATGAGTCTACCGCTCACCTCAAGGGAATGGGGTCCCACGTTGTACGGCTTTCGGCCGCAGCCTTGAGAGTCTCCTCAGATCCTCCCGCCAGCTACCACCCGCATGAGGTCGACACATATGCTCCACCAACCAATACAACGGCAGATATAGCCAAAAGGCAGTTATAAGATAAGAGTAATAATTCGCCATCAAAAAGGGTTTGTGTCACTGACGTTGAGTAAATGCATTTTCGATCATGTTTGTCTCACCCACCGACAAGTTGCCTTCAATCATTCAAAGGTGGCAAAGTTACAGAGATATAATATTATGTTGTTATATAAAACATCGTGGAGGGCAGACAGTCTGCAGCCCCGTAACGAAGGGACCCGACTTGGGCAAAGCTACTCAGGCGTGAGTCAATCCAAGACGCAGAGAGAATAGCGTCATTGAGAATAGCGTCTCACCAAGCAACCATCGCAGCGACGCAATGCTGCAGAACGCAACAAGCATCAATACGACTACCGTCGGGCTTACATCATTCCAAGGTCCCCCATACATCCCAGCAGACATCACCACCCGCACACCTCCATCGACCAGAACCACAAGAGTGCGTCGAATCTGGCGCAGCACGCCCGCAGATCCATCACAAGACGCAATACCGCAAGTAGCAGTAAGCGTCAATGCAACTATCGTACGGGTGGCGCCCCTCACAACACACCCACATGATCCCTATCGACTTTGGTAACAAAGTTTGTATTGTTGTTATGTAAAAAATATCACCAACGTATCATAGTAGCACGCTACTAAGACGCCAATGAACAAAACTCCACGTATCATAGCGCTAATGCACTAAGACATGAAGTTGAGTATGCCTGTTACACTTAAAAGTGCTACCAAACACACTCATCATCCCAATCCGAAAGATAGACGACGCATCGCTATGCGCTACTTCGCCGCCCACAAACGGTATGGGTGTACGATGTCCACGGGAAAGCCGTATTGCTACAACAAACCCGCTTACCACCGGAGCTAAGATGATATGTCTATGACACATCGATTAGCGAGTCCAAGTTTACCTCGGACCAATTGCTCGTGTAGCAGCACACACGCCACCATAATATTCCTTTTGAAGTCCCTAATAAGGACTAGTCATTTTGCAACAGTACTAGGAGCAGTCGGTCACCCGACCACCCCATACAATGCTTATGCATCAAGGAGACCTTCAATATTAATGCTTTTGTATCATAGACCTTACTTTCATAAGTCATTCATATATAGGTTTCGAACCCACAACCCTACTATTGTAATGCATATTCATCATAGAGACCTTCTATAGTACTGCTTTTGTATCATAGACCTTACTTTCATAAGTCATTAATATATAGGGTTCGAACCCACGACCCTACTATTGTAATGCATATTAATCATAGAGACCTTCTATAGTATTGCTTTTGTATCATAGACCTTACTTTCATAAGTCATTAATATATAGGCTTCGAACCCACGACCCTACTATTGTAATGCATATTAATCATAGAGACCTTCTATAGTATTGCTTTTGTATCATAGACCTTACTTTCATAAGTCATTAATATATAGGGTTCGAACCCGCGACCCTACTATTGTAATGCATATTAATCATAGAGACCTTCTATAGTATTGCTTTTGTATCATAGACCTTACTTTCATAAGTCATTAATATATAGGGTTCGAACCCACGACCCTACTATTGTAATGCATATTCATCATAGAGACCTTCTATAGTATTGCTTTTGTATCATAGACCTTACTTTCATAAGTCATTAATATATAGGGCTCGAACCCACGACCCTACTATTGTAATGCAAATTCATCATAGAGACCTTCTATAGTATTGCTTTTGTATCATTGACCTTAATATCATAAGTCATTAATATATAGGGCTCGAACCCACGACCCTACTATTGTAATGCAAATTCATCATGGAGACCTTCTATAGTATTGCTTTTGTATCATAGACCTTACTTTCATAAGTCATTAATATATAGGGTTCGAACCCACGACCCTACTATTGTAATGCGAATTCATCATAGAGACCTTCTATAGTATTGCTTTTGTATCATAGACCTTACTTTCATAAGTCATTAATATATCGGGCTCGAACCCACGACCCTACTATTGTAATGCAAATTCATCATGGAGACCTTCTATTGTATTGCTTTTGTATCATGTGAGTTTAATATCATAAGTCCCTAATATAGGACTAGTCATTGTGCTACAGTACTTCAGGCAGTCGGGCTCCCGACCACCCCATATATATGTACAACTGCAGGTATGTATCTCCGGCAGCTCCTCTATACAAGACATCTATACATGAACACCTTCCATAACTTAGGAAACTTTTCTTTTATACGTGAACTCCTTCCACAACAGGAAAATTTTCTTTTATACATGAACTCCTTCCACGACCACAACAAATTTTCTAATTATCTTATAAATGTTATTTATCTTTATTTTTATAATATTTTCGACTTGTATTTCTATTAATTATCTTATTTCAAATATTTTTTCAAGTTTTTAATAAATTTATTTATTATTGAAGACAATATTTTGCCTTTAATTTACTATGTTATTGGTCTAATGTCTGAAATGTATTTATATTAACTTTATGGTTATTAATGTAATTTTATTGTTTAATATATATCTTTTAAGACTATTTTTGACGCCCCTTTATATTGAATTTAATTATTAATAATAATGTTGGGCCGTCACAATGTGTAGGATCCCTTACGATGTTTTTCTTCACCACCTAAATCACTACTTAATTTTTTTATAGAAAAGGGGGGAAAAACCTGTCCGGTTCGAAAGAGACACATAAATACCGTAATGATATTACACATATAATAAGGATTATAAAAATTAAGGAAGAAAGAAGGAGAAGGAGTAGTGGTGATGGGATTAGTGGTTCAAACTCGGTAAGAAACCATTTTATTTTATTACGCGGATCTTAGAAAATTAATTTTAATTTTCTAAGATCCGCTATTATGATTTATATTCAAATTGTTAATTTTTAACAATTTGAATATAAAAATATTATTGTTATTTAAAACACACTTTTCTACTAAAATTTGATAAATACAACACTGGTGTGACGGTATCTTTGAACATTTGAACGTGTGTTTTTGTCATATATATTGCCGTGTCTATTTTTTATTATTCTAAGAAATCAGAAATATTTATTGACCATAATATAACAATCGTTACAGGCAAGTCATTGGTTACAAAAGTTTTTATAAATTTATAAGATTAAATTATATTATTGTATCTTAATTTAGTTACATTGACGCTTTACGTCATAGAATTAGGTAATTTATTTTGTTTGTACGTTACACAAGAATGATAATTCCATTGCATTTTGCAGTTGCAGTTGCATTGACATCTATTCGCTTAATTTGTAAAATGGGTTGTCCTCAAAAAATTATTTAAGTTTCCGTTTAAATTTGCTATAGTGTAGGCTGGTTAAACTATTTGGTAATTTGTTATACATCAATATTTTTGAGTAACGCCCCTGTTTTTTTACTTCCACTAATCTCTTCATGGGTAGAACACGTTTTTCATTATTACGTAGATTGTGCTGATTAATGTCTTTCTTTTTCGGTATTTATTTATCCTCATGTATCTCTAATAAACTATAAATAATATATATATATATATATATATATATATAAAGCGAAACCACTGTCATTATTTGGTCGTTCTTAAAATGTTTTCTTGCCGGGCTACTTTTTTTTAGACCATTGATTATTCTTATAGATTGTTTTTGACATTTTAAAACTTTTATAACATCCGGAGCATTACCCCAAATAGTAATGGCATATCTTATTACAGAATGAATGTAGGACACAGATATGAGTGTCTTTTTATCTAATAATGGCTTTAGCTTAAATAATGCGTAATTACCGCTAGCTATTTTCTTACAATTTTTTTCTATATGAGCTTTATGGTTTATTGTGCTATCTACTGTATATCCAAAAAATACAAATTCTTTTGTATTCGAGTTATCACGAATGCCTAGCCTCGGTTGGTAGTGCATTACAATACTTTTATTAGAATTTAGAATAATACCATTTGCGCCAAACCATTCTTTTAGCAAGCTCATAACATTGTTAATTTTATCGTCTAAATTTGATAGACTTTTGTCTCTTAAACCAATATGTGTATCATCTGCAAATAAACTTAAATGTGTATAATCTGGTATTGCATTGCCAAGATCATACAGATCCAAAACAAAACAGGACCCAAGATCGAGCCTTGTGGTACTTCAATCGACACATAACTCGCTAAAGAAGTTTGCTCATTTACTGAAACAATTTGGCTACAGTTACTTAAATAAGTTTTGATCATATTTAGTTCAGCTCCTTGAAAATCATAATGCTGCAATTTTAATAAAATTACATCTAATTAATGAATAATAAATGACATCAACAGAATTACATCCCAACACCTAAAAGCACCCACAAGTACAGCATTTTTTACTAACCGTATTTAGTAACTTAGAGTAAGACATTGAAGTTTCCATAGGTGTCGCTGATTTTACAGATGCCAAAAAAATATTATAACAATTTCCAATTTAAACCAATTAAAATTACCATTTTATTAGATCTTTAAAAACTTGTACATAAAACGTTTTAAGAAGCTATCGAAACAATCCAGTCTGTGTATGGAGCGACTGCGGTGCTGACTCCAGGGTAGGTGGCGTTACCGCAGCCTAAACCCCAGGAGACGATACCAATGATGATTCCGTTGTAGTAAAGGGGGCCACCGGAGTCACCTTGGCAAGCGTCGCGACCTCCAATGTCCAAAAGTCCAGCGCAAATCATGTTTTCAGTGACAATTCCGGGTGTGGGAAGGGAAAGATAACGCTCGGCGCAGAGTGTGTTGTTCACTGTGTAGATAGTGGTGTCAAGAAGTACGTCTGATGGAGGGCCACCTTCCTGTTGTCAGAAGGTTAGTTAAATATTAGTTCATCGGTTTTATGATGCATTCATACAAATGTTCTCAGTTGAACATAGATCAACTTGATTGGATTTACGGTATTCGGCATCTGTCTTTCTGTGTGCCTGTCTGTTCGGGCTGATTTTTAAAACGGCTGCACTGATTGTGATATAACTTCTCAAACAGATAGAGAGCTATGTCGGAAGTGATCTAGGTTATATTTTATTCGAAAAACCTAGAGATTACCTTTTGTGAAACTGAAAAATTAACAAAATAAATGTTTTTGATTATGACTTTAAATGTAAATGCTGTCACATAAATATTACTTGATACAACTCGCGGCATGAAAGTCTTGCGGCGACCGTTATTAAGCATAATTGGCCGTATTGCGTATGATTGGCTGTGCGTATCATTCGCACGTGCTGATTTGCTCTCCAGTCGCATTCCATCCCCCGTACTGATACGACATTCGTAGCTATACCCTCCACGTTTCATTCAGTGCTAGAGTTACGTGCCGCGACTTATATGTGCTTTTACATTTTTGACAAATTTAATTAAAGATAGAGATATTTATTGTAATAAATATACCTAAGATAAGTATATAAGTAATATAAAATACATATTGATGTATAAGAAAGAAGCGCTATTAACACCAACAAACTGTTGCAGAGTTTGGCGATGTTTATTATTATTGTAAATGCGTGTTTTTATGTGAACAAAGGTATTAAAAAAACAGGAGTCACAGTTATTAACCTACTGACGCTGGTATAACTTGATAAGTTCCTTCATATTTTAGACAAAGTTTTAATAGAAGATTTCTTTAAAATATCTTACCGAAGTTGCACCCCAACCAGCGTGCACAACTGGGAGGTTATCTGGGATCACCGTGCCCTGTGCAATGATTGCACCCTGCTGTATCACTGGAGTGTATGTCAGGGCTGACTGTAGCAGAATCACGGAGATGTCGCCGTCATTACCCAGTTGACCATAGCTATCATGGTTGAATGCTCGCTCCACGTAGGCCAAAACACCGCCTGAGTTGCTATCGGTGGAACCAGCTCTGATGCGTCGCCATGTGGGCGTGTATAAGCTGGAAACGACTTAAACATGAGCAAATAATTATGTGGCCGTTTGGTGACCGAAAAATCATCACCCCGATTTGTTCTTATGCTGTCATCATTATCATCACTACAGCCTATCACAAGTCCACTGCTGAACATACGCTTCCCCAAAAAAACACAAATCACGGTCCCGAACCACCTGCATCCATCAACTTTTTGCGTGTCATAAAAGGTGACTAATTTAGCGTGTAGAGGCGTTGCAAGAATATCCACCATCCTATCACTGTAACACCGTGGGTGTCGGCGACAGAGAGAAACAAACCGGGAGAACAAACCAGCGGCGTCTTCCTAACAAAAATTCTATAAAATTAAATATTGCAGTTGCCTACCAACTTTCCAAGCATGGCAACAAATTTTTTTATAGAAGAGGGGGCAAACCAGAATGCAGCTCACCTAATGGTAAGTGACTACCGCGGCCTATGAACAACCGCAATACTAAGGGAATTGCAGATGCGTTGCCAGCCTTTTAGAAAGGAGTAAGCTATTTTTCTCGAAGGTCCCTAAATCGTATAGGTCCGGAAAAGTTGCTGGTGGTAAACAACTCCACAGAGAAGTTTTACGAACGAAGAAAACTCCTTGTAAATCAATTCCTCAGAACACTCTCTGTAGTAGATGTGAAAGAAAACGTAAAAGGATGCAACATTCCTACGCAGCGCCAGCGAATCGAGCCGATCGGAAAGAACTCGGTCGTCAACTAGTCGAAACGCTCTGTGCTGGATGCAGTCAATTGGAAGGAGCTGGCATTGGAGTGTGCCGGCCCAGAGATGAGAACAGTATTACATGTGAGGCCATACTCGCGCTTTGTAAAGTTGCAAGCGATGTGGTGGCATGAGGTATTGTCTCTCTTCTGAGCACGCCAAGCTTTTTAGAGGCCAATTTGGCTTTCCCCTCCAAGTGACTACGAAACTGCACACTATATGATATATCGACGTCGAGGATTTCGATGCTAGCTGAGGCAACAAAGGGAGTGCTTTGAAACTGAGGAGATACGACAAAGGGGTTCTTTTTAGCGGTAAACGTGTGAACTTGTCTTTTGGGGATTGAACTGGACTAGATTTAATTTATACGTAGGCTCCAACCCAGGACTCAAAGGAGTTTTCTAATTTGTACTCCGAGTAGAAGAGATATTGAGTATCATCTGGAAAGGACACCTGAGTTTCGGTTAAAAAGAGCAAGGCCGACTTCGCCGTCTTCAGATGGTAGTGAACAGCGTTAGGCGGATAACGTTACAGGAGTCGCCTTGGTCTTATTGTTCCGCTTGCCCCCAGCAGTTTTAGTCGCGAGCGGCGAACTATGGCAAATATCCCCTAAAAGTGATCTCGTGATGGGGAAGGCTACGTTCAGCATTGAACTTAAAATACTGAAGTGATAGCGGTAGCTTCTTTGCAGGGAATATTTTTCACTTTACATTTACTCGTCTTCTACATAAAAGTACGACTGAGTAGCTAAATTCTTCTTATTTTATTTCTCGTACCCGCTGTTGTGTTCATTTCGTTCCGTGGTTATAGTAAGGGGTGACTATAGGATATGCTAAAAACATCTCTGGCTTCAAAAGTATGACGTCGGTTATTGCATCACCAGTATTCTTGAATCTACACATTCTTTATGGAATAGAAGAGGCTCATGTATAACATTAAATTTATAGGCTTCTGATGAAGATATATATTTTTTTATAGGATAAGGGTGATAAACGAGCACACAGTTCACCTAATAATAAGGGACTACTGTGACTGTGTTGTGTATTTGTTGTCACCCGTGAGGACTTAGATGGAATGCCTCGTTTCCAATAAAAAGGGTCTCCTGTTATCTACGTTCACCATAGCTGGTATTCCGTGAAAGGTGTCCTTCCCCGGTCGAGCCGACCCATTCGTGCTACAACTATACTACTAATATAACTTTAGCACGGCTCTACCACGTGAACGAGACAAAGTAATCATAGTCCTTAGAGGTGATACAGCATTTTCTTTGAGTGAATACTTCGTTGGTCGAAATAATTAGGAGCTGTGCATAGACTGCACAAGTCACTATCATCAGGTAAACTGTTAGTCATTCTAATGATAATCTTATGAAACATTTGACTGCATCGTTGGTCTAATAGTCATAAACGCCGCTGCTGATCATGAGGCCCTGGATGCGAATCCCGAATCGTGCCAAAAAATCAGTTAATGAGCTTTTCTGACAATAAATTTTCAGTAGCCGCCCAGAGTCAGGAAGTTGGCGGTGTTTCAATCCCTTGCCTCGAAAAGCACGTAATAGCGTTGGTCTTGCGCCTGATCTCTCTCCCGTTGTGCCGGTTTGCTGTCCCATCGGACTATGAGAGTGATGTAATAGAGATTCCACCTGTGTTTGCGCATACACTCGGACACTATAATCTTTGCAGATGGCTCACGGCAGCTAGTCTGCGTTTAGGAGGGCCGCAGTGATTGAAATTTGGTCTGGAGGACATTAGTATTACTCCTATAAAAATATTAACATTCCTTACGGTCCATCAAAGCATTGAGCTGCAGAAAGAAAGTATCTAGAAGTGAGAATACTGCCAGCGCATGCCTGAAACCAAATGTCTCCGAAGAAGTTGTAAAATTCTACTTGGACCAATGATGGATAAGTTTCTATTGACGCCGGCTGTCCACCCACAATACGGCCGCTCTCACGTGCCAAAGCAACTCCTGAAAATAATGAAACATGGTCGATTATCGTTTGATAAGATGTGACTCAACTAGGTAGTACGAACCTACACAGACGGACTCCTAGACTGCCTAGAAGTCCGTCTAGGTAAATAAATTAGCTCGCGGTCTTGTAGGCCGCGAGCCCTGAGTCGGATGACCCTGTAAGAGTCGCATAGACTAACAGCACTAACATCAAGATAATAGAGAGTCTAGGTAAATACCACCCTGTAACCTATTCCTAGCGACAAATAGTAGAGATTGCTCAACTGCGTTCCGGTTTGAAGGGTATAAAATTTCGTGAACGCACTACGCGGCAAACGTCCCGATACCATCCACACCATCTAGATGCTTGGCGGTCCACCACTGTATGTTTCACAAGGAGTTTTCTTCCGCGTACGACCTCTCTGCGGAATAGTTTACCACCGGCGATTTTTCCGACCTGGGGACCTTCAAGAAAAGAGCTTACTCCTTTCTAAAGGGCCGGCAACGCACCTGCAATTCCTCAAGTATTGCGGTTGATCATGGGCGGCGGTAGTAACTTAACATCAGGTGAGCTGCATGCCCGTTTGCCCCTCTTCTATAAAAAAAAATAAAAGGGCCAGTATAATTAGAGGCTGTGAGGCATTCCATCCTAGTTCTCAGAACTGACAACGCATCTGTGACCTTATTTGTTTGATACTGGCTGCAGGTGTCCATAGACTGCAGTAGTTACTTACTATGAGGGGCTGTAAATTCGTCCCTACAATTTTATGAAAAAAAAAATTATTAGTCCTAGGATTGAGCGTCGGAAGTGAAAAGTTCTTAGCTTCACAAACTTGTAAACAATATATTTGTAAAAGTATCTGAGCGTGACGGTCATGCGTGTTCAGTGCTTTTTACCATCCCAAAAGTGCCCAACGTACTTAATTAAGTTTTTACATTTTTTTTAAAACTAGGTATTTAGTAACAATAGCCAAAATATGCGTCTACACCCAATTCATAGAGCGCTTTGGCGGGGGAGAATTTTGGTGATTGGAGCTCTTGTCTTATAATTAATTAAGTTAATTATAAGACAAGAGCTAAAAGAATTTTTGTCATACAAAAATTCTTTTATCAATTTTGCTTGTCTGCTGAAATGTAATGATTTGATTTCTAATAAAAACCAAAAATATAATTTGATTGTCTTCTGAATTTGTATTAAAGATAAATCGAATGTAAATAAGCTACGATGAATATAACCTATATTACAGCTAGAGTGGTGACCATTACACCACGATCCAAGTGCAGGAAACATTGGATTGTTGTTGAAAACTGATCTTATTTTTTTATTTTTTATTTTGATTGAATTGTCAAAAATATATTTAGTTATGCAGCAGTTTTTGAAAATTTCTCCTAAAATATGCACGTGGAACATTGGTCAAATCAGTTGTGATGTAGGTTATTTTAAATTCAATTTATCTTTAAAATACAAATTCAGTAGGGTAGTTAGGTTTTGGATGCGTACTTTTGTCAGCTTGGAGCCATATCCACATCATTTTATTATTTGCTATTGCGAACTCACAATATCTGTTGCGGTACATTTATCTTATTAGAAGAGTACATTACATTGATTCAAGATGATTTTTACATAACTTATTTTTAAAGTTACATAGTTACAAAAAAGAAGTATTTCTAGAGAGTTGTTTTTACATTAAATTAGTGGACATCTTTTATACATTTTATAGGTGGTAGAGCTGCAGCTATATTATGGTTGTTGCGGGGTTGTAATGGGTCTGCTAGACCGGGGAAAGACCACGCTCTCACAGAATACCAGCGTAAAATAGCAGCTTAATGCTGCTGTGTTTCGTATGGTGAGTGTAGAGAACCGGAGACCCGTTTTACTGGAATCGAGACATTACTTCTTAGTCCTCAGGTGTGACAACGCATCTGCATTTTGATTCTTAATCGAGGTTAAATGTAGATGTCTATGGGCTACAGCATCCACCTACCATCAGGTGGACTCTGTGCTCGTTTGTCATCCTTATTCTATAAAAAAAAACCTCAAGCACTTAGTGCGCTAGTGAATGTATCTGACTGAATCTAAATGTTTTGCTATGTATGTTTATCAATATCCATCTAGTGGAGGCCGTTCTACACATTTTTTTCCGGTCCGGGGCTGAAGAACATTTCTTCCCCATCAGTTGTCGGTTCTTAGAGCTACATGAGCGCCATTGAGCCCACTAATCCGATAATCCGTAATATTCTAAATATTCTTCTTATTCAATCAAAACACATACTTTTTAAAAAGCAGAGAAAAATATACTTACCTGTAAAAAGGAGCACGATGAGGGCCTTAAGGACAGCCATTCTTTGTGCCAAAAAACTGCAAACATCATTGGAATTTCTGTTATATCGAGCATTTATAGTACACTATCATGCTTATTATCAATGATGCACAACAGTTACCGAGTTTTAAATCCCGTTTTAAAGTAATAAATTTTATTATAGTATAAAATATGATAAAATATTAATTCCTTTACGATAAATAATAGAATTAGGCGTTACTTTGCGGAAATCCATTATACTAAAATTGGTAAGAATTACCTCGCACATATGCGCTCAATAAAATAAAATGACTAAAGTATAATTTAACACCTTTGGTCTCCCAAAAATCATTAGAGACTGTGACCGTTGACGCGGAAGTGGCCCTTATTATATGGAAGAAAGATAATATCGTTAAAAGTTTGGTAGCTAAAGAAATTCGGGCAGTACTCACATCTTCCCATTGCAATCATGAGTTCCCCATTTTTATGTCACTAAAGCAGAGAATAAAAGACAATAACCTTATTGTTACTAAAGCCGACAAAGGAAACACTGTTGTCAATATGTAATAGCGGGTACATCCAGAAGGTTAACGATGTTATCCAAGGTGATGACTTTGAGCTATTGGAGTCTGACCCAACCAAAAAGTTTACTTCGGATATTAAAGTATGTATACAAAAGTCCTTCACTGCTGGCCATATGAGGACGCTCAAGGTCGCTCAGCGAGCTATAGAGAGGGCTATGCTCGGGGTTTCTCTGCGTGATAAACTTAGAAATGAGGATAATACAACCAGAGTGACTGACATAGCCCAACGGATTCTTAAGCTGAAGTGGCAATGGACCGGCCATATAACTCGAAGAATCGACAACCGTTGGCGAAAAAAGGTTCTCGAGTGGCAGCCTCGTACCGGTAGGTAAAGTGTAGGGCGACCCTCCACTAGATGGAGTGAAGACGTCGAAGTGCAGGAAGTCGATGTACGCAGGTGGCTCAAGACCGTGCTTTGTGGCATTCCTTGGGAGAGGCCTATGTTCAGCAGTGGATTTGTGAAGGGTTGTAATGATGATGATGATGATACAAAGATCATCATATATTTTTCCCGATCACAGCTTGTCTCGGAGCAGTCTTGTTCCAATGAATCCTCGAGCACCCATTTTGTGTTACCCAAAATACATAAAGAACATGTTCCTATTCGTCCGGTTGTCTATTATATATATTATATAGGTACACCAGCTTATATCCTTGCTTAGAAATTAAACTTCCTCCTTTGGGAGAAATCTGGATTCAACCCAACTTAAAAACAGTTTATATCTCATTTCCATAATTAAAAATATTTATAAAAAATAAAAATATAAATTTCTTCGCAACCTTCCGCCAAAGAAATACAATGATGTGTCTTACCTGGATTGAAGAGCACCTCCCGCCCTCCCTCAATTGCATGCACTAACTCCGTCACCACTAATCCCAGCACCACTACTCCCAACACCACTATTCCAGGCAAGACACACCATCAACGATAATACGACACGTGTTTCGCCTCTACACGAGGCATCTTCAGGTAATGTAGCCTCTACACGAGGCATCTTCAGGTAATGTAGAGTCCAGCCTGCAGAATGCAACTGCGATTTCAGCGTGAGTGGCACCACACTCCGGACAACTTTTGATATCCGTTCGGGTGAGAGGTCAGCAGAAGGTCCAACAGGGAAGGTGCATGATCCTCCACATCTGGAATCCGCGTAGCCGAAGTAACCAGTTGTGTCAGACCATATGCCAAGGCAAAATCATGAACAGATCTCCCCACATCATCGGTTAAACGTGAACCAAGCCATTCGGCATGATGGGCGTTAAAGTCGCCGAGGATCACGATCTCTGCGGAGGGGATCTGCTGTAGCAACGAATCTGTAGCCATTTGGACGTGGTCGAAGAGTCGGTCTGTTTCGGCATTACCGCTATGGGACCTATAGAGGCACCCGAAGACGCGCGGATGGTCGTCGCTGTCTACGCGTAGCCAAAGGATGGACAGGTCCGAACCTTCAAGTCTGCCGAGGCGTCGAGAACAGATGTCCTCTCCGACGTAAACGCAAACTCCAGCCCGAGGCACAAAGGACTGTTCCAGTTTGTACCCCGGGTAGGAGAGATACGAAACATCAGCCGGAGAGGACACCTGCGTCTCGGTCAGGAAGAGCAGGAGACCGGCCTCGCCGTCTCGAGATGGTAGTGGACGGCGTTTAGGTTAGAGTGAAGTCCCCTGATATTACAGAAATTCACGGACAGCGTGGCAGGAGTCGCCTTGGTCTTGTTGCTCCGTTTGCCCCGAGCAGTTGTAGTCTTGAGCGGAATTTTGCCCCCCCCCCCCCAGAATACGCGAGGCAGCCCCTGAGCACCCACGCTCAGAAGTGGAGAAACGTGGTCGTGGATGCTCAGCGAGGGATTCTCCAGGGGTGCTGGCAGCCTCCTGGGGTAGTCTATCATTATTTAATTCCGCTACCATGTTGATGGGGGGGGGGGGGGGGGATTTTGGACTCCGGCCACCTGCACTCACCAGACGAAACGCGGAAGCAGAGCTTCCATTTCACGCCGGTATTCTGTGAGGTCGTGGTACCACCCCGGTTTGAGCCGGCCCATACGTGCAACAGCAAAGCTGCCGCGTGGCTCTACCACTGTTAAAACTACCACTGTTCTCGAGATACACGAGGCAAAAATTGAATCCGAACATACATACATACATACGCACACACGGACATCCTCTTAAAAACCATACTATTCGACTCTAAAGACTAAAGGCATAGAAACGTGGAGATATGTTAAAATTTCCTATTTGCAATATCGGACCCATTACAGTAACTTCCCACTGGGAAGTTAAAAATGCCTTTAACAGTTTATTACAAAATAATTTTACTGAATTACTTTTTGTGACAATACCCATACAGTTCGGAAATGTTAGTTAATAAATTTAGCAAATAATTACAAGAAAATACAAATATTGTGCATTTTCCAAAAAATAAACACGTTTATTTTTTGTATGATGCGTGCATCTTAAAACCTTGGATAACCCCTGGCATTGTATTGCAATAATTTGCATAAAAAGATGCGTTCTGAATCAGAACGCATCTTTTTCTGATCCTTCTGATTCTCACAATGAAATTCAAAAAATGATTTAAAAGAGATGTCGTAACTATTGTAATAAAATAATAAAAAAAGCAAAACAGTTTCAGTTAGGCAGTTATGAAATATAGGTCCTGCAGATGTCCCTCAATAAAAGTAAAAGTCTTTGGAATAATATTAAAAGAATAGCGCTTCTAAATCAAACAAAAATAAGTAATACAAATTTATTACAAACAAATCAACACCATTAGATTCGGTAAATTATGTTAATAATTTATGCTCACGAGGTACATGATATTATCAGGAGCCTAAGATCAAACAATGATCCTGGATGAGATAACATTCCAGCGCACTTTCTCAAATTTGCGGTAACTCAAATTACTCCTATAGTCTGTCACTTTGTAAACCTTTATTTTAAGCATGGCGTTTTTCCTCAACCTTTAAAACATATTAGCAGTTCAGATACGCTCATTAACAAAATTTATGTAGTTTTTGCCTTATAAATTTCCAACTAAAAGCCTGTATTTATAATCTAATACAATATTAAAAAAGCATAAAGGTTTGATTTTTTTACTCAAATATTTTAAATAAAAGAAAAAAAGAAAAGGCATTGTAATTAACCCTTAAAAGTCCTAAGTATGGAGTGTAGAAGCAAAGAGTACCAACTCCCATAGTAGAATAGTTGAAAAAGTGGCCATCTGTCAGCAGTAAATAACAGCTCTAAAACTCTCCACAACAGTGCTGGAGTAGCTACTGAGATGAAATGAACTTAGCAGTTGTCGATGGTTTAAGTGTGCTGCTAAACTGCTCAGTAGCTCTAAAATCTAAAATAATTTTATTTAGTAAAATAAGAATATAAATTAAAAGAATTATATTATTATATAGTTCACATATAAACTTAAAAACTTGGTAATATTAAGTTGCTGAAAGACACGCTGTACTTAAAAAATTATATGCTATTATTAAAAATCTCTATAACTCGAACCTCGTTAAGTCGAAATCCTCAGTAAGTCGAAAAAAAATGCCATTCCCTTCCGCTGAACCCCTAAATACGAGGTATCTCGAATTATTAGACTTTGTAACTCGAACAAAATGTTATTTCCCTACGAAATATTGATAATATATATTTATACTCTATAACTCGAATTTCAAAAAGGAGACTCCGTAAGTCGTAGTTAGTAAACAATAGTGATGTCTTACTTGGAATTCCCCGAAATAATTGCAATAAAATCCGGGTTCTTAAAATTTTCAACTATAACGCCCGGTAGTCAAACATGAAACGTCCTATAACTCAAAAAATATGGACATTAGAAAAAAAAAGTTTCAAACAAAAGTTTTGGAAAATAAACTGATATTTCAAAATGCATTTTATTGATTAATCTAATACTTCAAAAGATATTGGCCGCGATAGAAAAACCGGTTAATTAAATGGGCCATAAATCGTAAACGGTAAGTTTTACAAAAATGTTTACTGGAAACAAAAGATGCGAAATTTTATTTTCTACAATAATGGTTTTCATAATTTTTGCCTTAAAGTGCATATTTTCCGAGATATTGGCAGAAAACGTTTTTTCGAGATGGCGCTTGAAGCGCAACCTGTTCATTAAATGGGCCATAAATCGTAAACGGTAAGTTTTACAAAAAAGTTTGCTGGAAACAAAAGATGCAAAATTTTATTCTCTACAATAATGGTTTGTATAACTTTTGCCTTAAAGTGCATAGCTTATCGAGATATCGGCTGAAAAAGTTTTTTCAAGATGGCGCTTGAAGCGCCACCTGTTAATTAAATGGGCCGTAAATCGTAAACGGTAAGTTTTACAAAGAAGTTTACTACAAACAAAAGATGCAAAATTTTATTTTGTACAATAATAGTTTGTATAACTTTTGCCTTAAAGTGCATAGTTACCGAGATATCGGCTGAAAACGTTTTTTAAGATTGCGCTTGAAGCGCCACCTGGATCTGTCGGTATTTTGTGATTTTATGCTGAATAAGTGATCCTAAACCTCATAAAAAATAAAATTGAATCGGAAATTTCGTGCAATGTTAAATTCTATTTTTACTGTACTATTTCATTAAACATTTTATTTATCAACAACGTCTTACAATCGTCGTTTCTCTAGCGCTCACGTGACCTTCATACAAATAATTCAATTTTTATTTTTGGATAAGAACATGGTAATGACTCTAAGTTATATTTACCTACTCTGCAGAGGTATATAGTTTATAGCATAAATCTAGTATAAAATACTAAATCTATGGTTTATGGCAAGTCATGTAACATGTAGTGCCCTCTTGAAACCATTGTTGGTATCACTTCTAATCTTAGACGACGTAGTTATTTGTAGTAATGACACGAGTTTCTCAAGATATCTGCTAGATGTCGCTGGGTGTCTGTAGTATTTGTCTAATAAAGAATGTTGCCCATATCGTGTTTCAGTTTCCCACCAAAGAGTATAGTAATATATACGGAAATTATACATAATTACGATTATTATATATTATTACGATTTCCGTGCCTACGACACCCAAGCCAAGGGTTGATGTGGGGCAGTGGATATTCTTACACCACCCGTACACGGTTACCTATATGTTGTTATGTATTAATCTGTTGATGAAATATTAACTTAATAACCATACGACTAACATTGTTGATAGCTGCTTAGTAAGTCTTACTTATTCTAATAATAACTATCCACTATTGATACGACAACGCTTAAGCAGGTAGTAAATTATTCTGATAAGCTACTAAAAACATAAAAATGGCTTATTAGTCACATATAAGTATTTATATATAAATTTACATTGGCTTTTATGTTTGTTTAGATTTTTTAGCATTCCATTTAAAAACAATAGGTGTGTGTTTTGTCTGCTCTAACTGAGTTGACTAAAATTCTTTTAAAGAAAGAAAGTACACAAAAGAAAGTAAAATAAACTAGACAAAGATCAAACGCACAATATTGATAAAGAAAGAAACAGAAAATAATTTATAACCAAAATAAAATTAATAGTTGTTTGATGTTAAAAAGGGGCCTGTCTCAATGATAATCTGTGGGATTTTGAGCCATTTGTGCTTTCGAAAAATAAGTAACCAATGCTCTTAGCACAAATGTACTCGTATACACTAACGTTTTCATCGGGTTATCGCTTTTCGCCTAGAATTGTATTTAAATACGAACAGCGCCACAGGCGAACACAAACGGAACTATGTTTTTAATTGTCTTTAATAGTTTTTTCTTTTAGTTGATTTTTATCTCAAAATATATAATTAAAATAATAAAATCGAATTTAATAAGTAACTGAATTTGGCTATAAACATATTAGTTTAATATCATACTTTATTATATTAATTATTACTAATAATGGGACACCCATTTTCGGGTGAGGGCCTCCTCCATCCTTGCCATGAGTTTTTATCTGCCGCTAGCCTTGTCCACGTTGCTCTTGCCACCAATGTCGCTTCACCATATAATCTACTTTAATACTCAAAGATAATCTATCTTAATTGCTTTAGGCAAAAGGTCGTGACAAAATTCTCCTAGCTCTTTCAATTTAAGGAAAATCGCGCGCGAATGTAAAGGAATATTAATCCTTAATCAATTTATCATTTTATAACAGGCTTTCCAATTCGGTAATCGTTGTGTAAAATTGATGATAAGCACGATATTGTACTATAAATTATCAATATCATAGAAATTCAAACGGTATTTTCGTCAAGAATTTCGGCACAAAGAATGGCTGTCCTTAAGGCCTGCATCTTGCTCTTTTTCACAGGTATAAATATATTTTTCTTTTTTTATTAATCATTTAATTGATTTAGAATATTTTGAATATTACGGATTAACGGATTAGTAAGCTCAAATGGCAATGGGCTTGTTGAAGAAATGTTCTTCAGCCTCGTACCGGTAAGCGAGGTGTAGGGCGACCATCACTAAATGGAAATTAATAAAGATATGCAGCAAAACATTTTAGATTCAGTTCGAACGCTAACGTACTAGGTATTTGACGTGCCCACTAAGTTAATGTACAAAGAATTTCTTTCAGAATTCTTTTATTCTCTAAGAACATTTCGTTTTCAATGTAATTCTATATGTTTAGCGACAATGCCCCACGCTTTTAGCATGGCCCTCGTGTAACTAAAATACAAAAATATTTTTGTACCTATGGAATGTACTCTCTTAAAAGGATAAACATACCGCAATAGATATTGTGAGTAATAGCACTTGATAAAATTATACAGATACAGTGCCAAGTTCAAAAATTTTCCTTGACATATATCGAAAGAGTATACATCCAAAATCTGAGATAAAATGAATAATCTTCGGCAGATAATAGATATGTAACGCATGGATATCTCATTAAAAATACTAAATTTGAATTATTAATCACTTTTCATTTGTTGAGCACGGTCACCTTATATCTTTTTTCATGAAACATTCGAGACTACAGATTACTAATATTCATTCAACAACAGTTTTTGTCTGCTGAAATTGTATTTTAAAAGATAAATCGATTTAAAAAATAAGCTCCATTACAACTGATTGTGTAACCATTATTCCACGTTTTAATTACGCAGCATGTCTCCGACATTGTCAAACAATGGTGTATAACTAAATACATTTTTAATTTAAATCAAATCAAATAAAAAAAAACCTTACCTTAGTCTCTTACCCAATCTACGATGTTTCCAGCAATTGGCACGTGGAATAATGGTCACCCTACCAAATATAATTAATGCTATTTTAATTAGACTTATCTTCTGAAATAAAAATTCAGCTGATAAGCAACTTTTGTTAAACGAATTGTTTTCTTAAACGTAAACGTAACGTAACTTAATAATGAACTAAACATCACACCGCTTTCAAACCATTATAATTTAGAAAATATTACAAAATCAACAACTGAAATATTCGCAACGTTTCTCAAGGGAAACTGTTCGATAATTGATCCGTAGACACAGAACGGTCATCGGTCACTTTTCGGTGTGCTGCCACAAAAAGTTGCAATAACAATACCAGCTCCGATCAAAAATAGCAACACGTTTCGTACTTTTAAACTAAAACTAAAAGAATACCTACATTTTAAATTTGCAATGTCAGTAGAATTCTTTGTCGATGTATCATCACACATCTCTTATGAAGTATACTGTGTCTGAATATATTACAAAATTAAGAAATACTTAATTCTACATGTATTCTGCTTTCGTAACTGATCAAATAATTTAATTGTGAGCCCTTTTTTCCTAAACGTTTAAAGTTTTGTTTTTATTTTAAATTTTTTATAAGCGCATGTTTTTATTTTATGTTGGAGCCTGTGATAAGTTACTTGTAAGTTTGTTTTGGTGCACCTATGTCTGGCATGTACTGAAAATTAGCGTTATATATACCGCTATTAGGTTTCTATAGCATTTTTGCTGAGTAGACGCCAGTTTAGTTCGTAAATTATTTTGTTATATTAATTAATGTTTATATTTAGAACTAAACAAATTATGTTTATAATATATAATAAATTATAAAACAAGAATTCCAACCGTCCTACAACTTCTCCGTCAAAACTTTGGCGGCATGGTATCTAGTTGAATTATTCCTTATTCAAAAGTTAACCGACCATAATTTTCTTATTTTCAGGTGTTGCTTTGGCAAAGGAAAGCAGCCGCATTGTGGGTGGACAGCCGGCTTTAATCGAAACATACCCATCGCTGGTCCAAGTAGAGTCATACCAGATCTTTGGAGACTTTTGGTCTCAGTCATGCGCTGCCAATATTCTCACTTCTAAATACGCTCTTACTGCAGCTCATTGCTTTGCTGGATCGTAAGGAAGATTTATACTTTTTAATATTTTTCCTTTATAAATCGTTACCGAAACACTAAGATTTTCTACTGAATTGAGGAGGTAATTTACAAACATTAATTGCACAAAGGCAAATATCCAGACCCGGAACAATTATTTGTAAGCCATACAAATGCTTGTTCCGTGCTGGATTCGAATCCGTGGCCCTCGGCACCGCCACTCAATGCCAAACTACTGTACCATGGAGCCAACAAATTTAGTAAATTTTTATAAGAGTATCGTTGGAGTTCACACTTCACAGTCCACCTGATGGTAAGTGACTACTGCAGTCTATGGACAACTCCAACTAACTTCGACCAACGAAGTCTTCATACAAAGAAAATGCCTTATCACCTCTGAGGATTATGATTACCTCATATCTTCTTCTTTATCATCAGCCACTGCTTACTGTTAGACATGGGCCTCACCCATTCCAAAACACATGTGCCTTATTCACCAGCTTAGCAAGTATACTGGCGATACAGTACCAGATGTCATACCTTTTACGCTTTTCATCGTCACCAATATGAGTACTATACGTCTAGCGAAAACAGATTGGTTATAATGCCATCTGTCGGAAGCCATGGGATCTTTTCAACGTATCCCATAGTCGCCCCTTACTACATCCATGGGACAAATTGGGGCGATAGATTGTCTTGTACCGTCATTACCCGGCAAATCCCACAGCCTTTATACCTTCTGTTTCTCCATACCCTTCAAAAATGATTATAATAGAGGGTAGCAAAAAACGTAAGAGAATTGTAGCAAAATTACATCATGATTTCTTATATTTACGCGAACACTACACATTGAAATAATACTAGTTTTTACGGAAGTTATCGCGTATATTTAACTTTTTAAATACCCGACGTTTCGAGCGCTTTACAGCACCCATGGTCACGGGGGGGGGGGGGACTGAGATGTTCAACGTTCAGATGTCATAGTTAACCGCGGTTACTATAGATTAAAATTTAACTTTTGTTCCGATCTACACAGTATGAACTTATGGTATCTTGAAGCCTTGCAGTTGTATGCTTGGGTTGGGATTTAATTTTTTTTATTATAGGATCCCAAGCAGATGGTAGCACCCAGCCATCTTCTCTATTGAAATTAGGATGTTTTTTGATTTCAATAGCCTCGCGAATCATCCTTGGATAGAATCGGTGTTCTTTAGCGAGGATTTGTGGTCTATCGAATCTGATGTAGTGACGGGGGCGATCCTGTACGTATTCACAAACTGCAGTCTTCCCGGAGCGTCGATTCTTCACATCAGCTATATGTTCTTTAATGCGGGTTTTAATACATCTTTTAGTTTGCCAGTAGACATGCCAGTAGAATGTGCAGTATTACTCAGACACTGCCTTACATCTGACTACCTATTGTTGAAGGAGGATTTCTACAAGCAAGTAGATGGTGTGGCAACGGGCTCACCTGTATCTCCCATTGTCACCGACATATTCATGGAAGACTTTGAGGAGAAATCCCTGCTTACTTCTCCCATTAATCCCAGATTCTAGATGCGGTACGTAGACAACACTTTCACAATTCTACCTTTAGATAAATTAACTGCATTATTAGACCATCTTAACTCTATAAATTCTAAAATTCAGTTGACAATGGAGTTAGAGGCAAACAATATAATATAATTCGGAATCCTGATAACACCTTGAGCCATAGTGTGTATAGAAAAAAAACCCATACAGATAGATATTTAAACGGTGATTCTCACCACCATCCTTCACAGTTAGCTACCGTGGGTAAATCTTTGTTTCAGAGAGCACGAGGGATCTGTGACAGTAAACACCTGGCTGCCGAGCTCCACCATGTCAAGCAAGTTTTGCATGACAACAAGCTTCGGGTCCCGCGCCTACGTCACAGTGAACGAGTGAAGCCGGCCACAGTCGAGCGTGTACCTGCTGTACTGCCATATGATAGAGGAGTCACTGACAAGATTAGCTACATCTTGAAGCGTGCTTCCATTCAAAACATACTTCAAGCCGCTGAAGAAGATTGGTCAGTTTTTACCATCAGTCAAGTGTAACGTCCCTCTGCAAGATGCAGGAGTGTACAAGCTTTGTGAATGTGGTCTCTCCTACATAGGACAAACTAAAAGATCAATTAAAACCCACATTAAAGAGCATATAGCTGATGTGAAGTATCGACGCTCCGGGAAGTCTGCAATCTGTGAACACGTACAGGATCGCCCCCGTTACTACATCAGATTCGATAGACCACAAATCGTCGCTAAAAAACACCGATTCCTTCCAAGGATGATTCGCAAGGCTATTGAAATCAAAAAACATCCTAATTTCAATAAAGTACCGTAAGATGGCTGGATGCTACCATCTGCTTGGGATCCTATAATAAATAAAGTTAAATCCCAACCAAAGCATACAACTGCAAGACTTCAAGATACCATAAGTTCATACTGTGTAGATCGGAACAAAAGTTAAATTTTAATTTATGGTAACCGCGATTAACTATGACATCTGGACGTTGAACATCTCAGTCCCCCCCGTGACCATGGGTGCTGTAAAGCGCTCGAAACGTCGGGTATTTAAAAAGTTAAACATACATAATTAAACATAGTAAAAACTAGTATTATTTCAAAATTACATAAACTGGTTTTTCTTCTTCTTCATTCAACTTGGTATTTCATAACAAGAGCCTAGTACGCGTAGTTGGTTATTAAAATGATTTTCAACTGTTATAAGTTTTATTGATATTAATAATTTAAAGGCAAAGGACAAATGTACCATACAGCCTATATTGATTTTATACTTTGTGTCATCGATTTATTTAGGTAAATGTTATTTTTATAGTTCATAAAAGATAGCTTGATCTCTGCGACAGCTGTCAGTAAAAATCACGCCTATGAAGTCCTGAATTTCTTAGTAGTACAGACAGTACCTACCTGTCAATGTCATACTTTATGGGCATGCACTAATTAGGTCGGCATGCCCATAAAGTATGACATTGACAGGTACTGTCTGTACTACTAAGAAATTCAGGACTTCATAGGCGTGATTTTTATTGACAGCTGTCGCAGAGATCAAGCTATCTTTTATGAACTATAGCTACTCAGTCGTACTCGCATATAGAAAACGAGCCGTAAATATCTATTCAAAAAATAAGATATAGTAAATATGTAAAGTACACTGATAAACATAGGCTCCCCATAGATTACCTATTTATGGGGGATCCCCCTATTACCCATGCTTGGCAAGTGATTTGATAACCGCAGTTTTTTGTTTTTTAGTTGTTGTTAGTAAGACGCTGCTGCTCATTTCCTGGTTTGTTTCACTCAGCCGCATTTTACGATATCCAAAGTGCTATATGGGATAGTGGATATTTTTGTACCGCCACTAAATGTGTGACTCGCAGAAAGTCGATGGGTGCATGTCAGTCAGGACCGTGCTTTGTGGCCATTTTTGGGAGGCTTATGTTCAGCAGTAGACTTGTGGTGGTCATAGCTACTTAACAAAGCGGGGTGATGAATTCTCCGCTACCACACGGAGATATCATCATTTGCTCGTGTTAAATCATGTTTTTAATCCCCAACCGTAGACTATGTTATAAGTTTAAGGGCCTATACTACCTCAGCTCAAATTCTAATTTCGGCGCACTTCCCCGCGCGTCATATGCTATGTACCAACATGTTTGTTGTCACTAATACTGTAAGTAGATCGTTAGATACTTATTTCATTAGGTTTAACATATTTAAGCCTGTTTCTTTACTCCAACCCAATCGCTTCTTATTTTCACTACGGTTATTTCCCATTTTAATTTTACGTCATCCTGTTGCGTAATGTATATTCTGATCGTAAGCGACATAGCTTTCCCGTTCGAAAGCCGTAGCGAAACTGATCGGGCGGCAGGGAACAAGATTCAGGACACCGATATTTTAGGTAATTTCTTTTTACCGTGAAAATAATGGTAATTTAAAAAGAAAATAAAAAACGTAAGCCCTGCTTTATAGTTAGTTCAGTTGGTATGCAAAGTTCCATGACCTAATTTAAAGTATTTTATGAATACCAATGGTTTTTGTTAAGTTTGGAGGTAACTTTGGATTTTTTTCTATCGAGAAAATTTTACGGAATCGTGTTCTTGTCTAACATGGTACTTAACATTAATGCTCAACTTTACCATATATTTATTTCAAAATTATCGCTGCAATATTTTCGGCATAACGGAGGATCTTGCTAAGTCATTTAAGGTAGCATAGGCCCCTATTTCCCCTTAACGCGTGTATCTGTGTGTCTGTCTGTTACATAGTAGCGCCCAAGCCTACGCACCGATTTTGATTTAATTGTTTTTGGTTGTAAGGTGACTTGATCGAGAATGTTCATAGCTATGATTCGAGAAATATTTTCAGCCATTTGAAGATCATCAGCCCTTTTTGTTTCGGGGTTTAAATTTTTTAATTTTATTTATAATTGTTTCCAGCTTGTACTCACCCGCATATCGTCGCATCAGAGCTGGTACCACCGATCGCAACATAGGCGGCGTTGTGGTCTACGTAGAACGATCATACAACCATCCCAGCTACGGTCAATTGGGTAATGATGGCGACATCTCCGTGATTCTTCTACAGTCAGCCCTAACATATACTCCAGTAGTACAGCAGGGTACAATCATCGCACCGGGCGGGATTGTCCCAGATAATGTCCCAGTGGTGCATGCTGGTTGGGGCGCAACTTCGGTAAGATATTTTGTATTTTTAAGGAATCTTTGTTAACCTCCCAGTAGGAAGTTATTGTAATGGGTCCAATTTTATAAATTGGAAGTTTTAACATATCTCGACGTTCCAAGGTCTTTAGAGTCGAATAGTATGGTTTTTAAGAGGATGTCCGTGTGTGCACATGTACGTATGTATGTATGTATATATGTTCGGATTCAATTGTCACCTTATGTACCTCGAGAACAAAGAGTGATATTGACATGGGACCAGTTTCATTTAACGCATAATTATGTAACTTAGACCTCATTAAATTTTGAGCAAAATCGGTCAAGTCGTGTTTTGTGCCGAATGAAAAATTGTATAAAATATTAAAACATATGACATTTTTTTTTATTTTTCCACTGGGAAGTTAGTCATGTGCACCTTTCGGGTTGCACCTAGACCGCTTTTAATATATATGTCACTGTTAAAACCCCAATTGCGGTTAAACGTAGGTTTAGCCAGACAAAATTAAGTGCTGCCACCTAAAGTTGGAAAAAAGAAAAATTATGAAAAAATAAATAAAAGCTATATGCCTAGATTACTCCTGACATTGCCCTCTATCTGTTTGTTAAGCTTCAACACAGTCGATTCAACCATTCCAAGGGTTAGTCCGAACAGACAAACACGGACAGACAAAGGCCGACAACGGTAAATCCTAGCAATTTAGTCTATGTTAAACTGAGAACATTATTATGTATGCATTGCATTATAAAGCCGATTAACTAATCTATAACTAATTTTTTTACCAACAGCAAGGTGGCTTCCCATCTAACGTACTTCTTGACACCACTATCTACACAGTGAATAACGCACTCTGCGCCGAGCGTTACCTTTCCCTTCCCACACCCGGAATTGTCACTGAAAACATGATTTGCGCTGGACTTTTGGACGTTGGAGGACGCGACGCTTGCCAAGGTGACTCCGGTGGTCCCCTTTACTACGGCAACATCATCGTTGGTATCGTCTCCTGGGGTCATGGCTGCGCTAACGCCACCTACCCAGGAGTCAGCACCGCGGTCGGTCCATACACAGAGTGGATTGTATCGATCGCTTCTTAAAACGTTTAATGTACAAGTTTTTAAAATTCTAATAAAATGGTATTTTTTATCTGGTTCTTATTGGAAATTGTTTTAATAATTTGTTGTCATCCGTTAAACAGCTACTTATTATTATACACTGTTGAAATAGCCATAAACTACGTTGAATGTGTCCTTCGATCAACAATTGCTATTGTTGATCGAAGGTGAAATCACACTGTTGCTATTAATTTAGGCAGTAAAATACTAATTCGTTTGAAATTAAATACGTAGATGGCGGATGAGTTCATACAAAACACATACACAAATAAATTAATAACCAAAAACAGTAGTAAACTAATAAATGCGGGCACCAAAATTTCGTGCTTACGCCTTACCGTTAAAAAAATAGTTACCCCTACAATAACTTTTAAGATTTTTTTCTTGCATCAAAGAGGCACTTAGCATTCAGACAGTTTTTTTTATAGGAAAAGGGTGACAAGCGAGCACACAGTCCACCTGATGGTAAGTGATTACTGTGGCCCATAGACATCTACATCTATCCTCGTTCGTGAATCAAAATGAAGATGCGTTGTTAGCCTAGAGGACTAAGATGGAATGCCTCTTTTCCAGTAAAAATGGTCTCCGGTTCTCGACACTCACCATACGAAACACAGCAGCATTAAGCTGCTATTTGACGCTGGTATTCTGTGAGAGCGTGGTCCTTCCCCGGTCGAGCCGACCCATTCGTGCTACAACTATACAATTAATAAAGCTGCAGCATGTCTCTACCACGTAAAACTACAAACAGTAAAATAATTTTAATTTTAAAACAGTAAAGAAACGAGGCTAGGCGAGTGTAGACGTATGAGGAAGTGTTCCATGAGCCGCAGCATCCACTTACCATCAGGTGGACTGTATTTATATAAAAAAATTTGATGAAGAATGTGTGTCGCTATTACATTTAGTCCGGCCATAAATTCTGTTATAAATGCAAATGCATTTTTTTAAATGAAGTAATGTAATATTAATAAAACTTATATGTACCTATAATATACTACATACATATATTATACATATTTATTAAAGTCTCAGCAAAAAATAAAAACGATATTCTATTCAAAATTTTGTCTTTTATACAAGCCTTAAATCTGCCTGGCCACGAATCTATGGATTTACGCACTGTTTCCATGGGAAATTTCACCACTGCTTGCTCCAGAGATTTTTTAAGAGACTGAATGTCGTCGTGTCGTTTAGAGCAAGCCATGTCTTCTAAAACTAACCATAATTTGTAGTCTAAAGGGTTGAGAACTGGGCTAGATGAGGGCCAGTCTTCAGCTCTAATAAAGTCAGGAACGTTGGTTTCAACCCAGGCTTGAGTAGTTTGTGCCTTGTGACCAGGTTCAGAATTCTGCTGCCAAGTACACGGTACATTTTTAAAAGTGTGTTCCTGAGAGGTTTCACAATACGATCCAAGACTGTCTCTAGATACACTTTGGCTGAAGTTTTCACTACCTTTTCACAAAAATGTAGCATTGTGACGCCTTGATAAGACACGCCCCACCAAACCTGTGTTTCCACCTACCAAAATTACTGTGGCAAAACAAGTGTCTCTTTGATGACCACGTTGTACCTTTCCGACCACTTGAGAAGCTTCTTTAGAACTATGAGCGTACACTTTATCAGTTTGCTTATTGTAGTGCTCTTCAATCGTGAAAATTTATTCATCCTTATAGAGGATATAGCTGTGCCCCGTATATCGACGATAAACACCGAGCTTCAGGTCTTGTTTTATAATACGCGACAACGTCCTAGCGGGAATCTTCATTTCTCGCGATTCCTAATGGGATTTCGACGAATTCTGGCTTTAATAACATTAACAGCCTTCGTAGTTCTAACAGCACGCGGTCGCCCAATCTTTTATGGTTTTTGATAGAGGAAGTGTTGTATCTGTTGATAGTACGATATACGAACATACGGCTGATACCAAGCTTTTGACGTGTCTGGAATACGTTCGACGACTCCATACCCACTTTATACAAGGCGATAACCGCAATACTATTTTCTTTAACACCCAATTCCATATTGAAATTTGATAATGAACACGAAAGAACTTTTAAAAATAATGAACGCGATCTGGTTGCGCGGAAAACCATTCGCGTTTTTTATTTTTGACGGTAGGAACTTGCTGAATCATTATCCCTTTCCAAGACGATATCATTCGTACCCTCCTATCGACACATCGCGGTGATGGGGTGGGAGGGGAAAGAAGACGATTCTAGAACATCGCGTAATCATCGGACCCGAGGATATATAAGACACGCGCGACCGACGCGCGCTCTTCTCCTCTTCCCGCGCGCTCGTTTGGAAACACCTCACTAGTGGAAACCGCTTTGGCCTGGAAGCAGTCGAGCTCCAGGAACCCGCCTCACCTCGTGTGAGATATCGTCGCGCACCGCCTCTCTCCGGAGTGTTCCAGAAGTCGCTATAGTGATCGACAGGATAGAAGAAACCCCGGCAGGATTCCTTTCATCGATTTGGCAAGTAATAGTTTTAGTTTAGGGAAGAGCGAGTGCATTGTACCGCATGCTATAGTAGTCGCTTTTACATAAGCATAGAAGCAAACGCAAATACAGTCCACTTTAGTTAATATCTTGTGTAATAGGTTTGAGGTTTGACCGGGGAACTAGATTTTCGGCAGCCACAGAACACGTGGCTCCACCACGATCCAAATTCAAAATTATTAAAAAGAAAAGTTTTATGTAACAGTATTTATGGCCAGACTAGTTATATGTATAATTAGAACTCATCCTTTTTTGTGGATTATCTTTTAACTTGATTGAGGAATCCGCTATATAGCGGATTTCCACAAAAAAAAAGTTCTAATAATGCATGCAATTTTTCTGGTTATACATGATTATTTTGCCATAACCGGCCAAATTTGCATAGAAGGTTCAGAATTATCGATCGGTAGGCAAAAACGTTGTTGTCTATACATCAGATTTAAATTGTGGATAGTTTCAAATAAAAGTAGAAGCCTCATTTATTCGTATTTTCAAAAACTGCAATAACGGTATATCATTATTTATATCGCAGTAGCAAATGTCTCGCGACTTCAACGCTGCCTACCTGGTTATTAGACGGCCAGGTTATTATAAATCTGAACTAAACGAGATGTTTATACCGCCATCTATCTTAAGCTATAAGAATTATGTAGCATACCTAGCAGCTTTACTTAGTGGTGGTTTACTACCCCTTAGTCACCTTTTACGACACTCACGGGAAAAAATAGTGTGATAATTTCTCTTACACCGCCAGCACACTTCACGGCTGTATATAGAACGTTCCCACAGCTGGGCACAGGCCTCCTCCCATTCCCCCATTAGTTTGGAGCAACTGTTGCGCCGCGCTGCTCTACTGCGTATAATCAGTCTGTGTTTTGCCGACATAAGTTTACTTTTACTACTTATTTGTATAGATTTCTAATGTGGACATCGCTACTGGCATAATAAATTGAATAGTGTTATATTAACTGTGAGTTATAATACATAAACATTGCTAAAATTTCTGTTAGTGTTTAAGCGCTTGTTTATTTTGTTTATTTGTGCGACCGCTGTGTGTCATTGACGAGGTCAACGATCACTGTCACGGATATTGGACTCTCGGGCAGAACGTAAGGGGTTTCCAGTGCAATTTTTGCAATTTTTGCTTGTTGCTTATAAAAAAAATTCAAATTCAAATTTAAATAGTTAATCAAAATGGCTTTGTTGTATGCTTGATGTCGTGTTGCTGTAGCAAATACTGATGTGCCTATAATATGTATCAGTTGTAGTGGCTACTACCACCTGCAATGTGTGTCTGCATCATCCAAAAAAGACCCAACACTTCGCAACGGGTCAGATTGGACCTCCCCAGCGTGTTTGTCAAAGCAACCTAAAACATTTAAAAAGGATAGTACACCTGTCCGCATTCCAGCGCGTTGCACCATCTACCAAGGACTCCAAAAAACCTAAACCAATTATAGTGCGATTTATATCGAGGTATAATAAAGATGACTTTCTGTGTAAGACAAAGAAACTTAAAAGCTTAAAAGCATGTGATCTTGGCTTTCCTGGTATTCAATCTTCGATATTTTTCAACGACCACTTGACCAGTTTAAATAAATCTTTATTGCGCCAGATGAAAATTGAGGCTAAGGATAATAACTATAGATTTGTATGGGTAAAAACTGTAGTATTATGGTTAGAAAATCTGAATCTAGTCCTATTTTACACATAAATAATATGACGGATTTATTCAAAATAAAATAGGGATTATTATATTAATTACTGTAATTAATTGTTATTTTAACTACATTATGGCTTATGATATAAAGTTGTTCTCTTTTTCGTTTTAAACGTAATGTATGATAGGCTTATTTTCATTGTGCACGAGACCTTGACACATTCGGTGATAGTTTTTTACAGTACAGTTACTACAACATTTAAATACATTTTTTTATACACTTCTTTCTAAAGTATGTACGACATATATATATTTACATCTGTATAAAAATCGGTTCTAATTTAATTTACTATCAAAACGTAAGGGGTCTACGTACTAAGACTGACTTGCTTTTCAGAAAGGTCTTATGTCATGAGGACGATATAATCTGTTTCGCTGAAACTTGGTTACATTCAGGTATATTCGACTTAGAACTATTTGTCGCACGGTATTACGTATATATGTAGAAGCGATCGTAACTACAAAGTCAGAGGTGATACAATGGGTGGAGGGGTTCTGATTTCAATGAGATATAAGTTTAAGGTCACTAACGTTGAATGCATCCCGTCAATGGATTCAGCTGCTGACGTGATTCGTGTTTCTATTTCATTTGAACGACATACACGATGCAACATATACTGTTGTTATTTTCCACAATGACGAATTCATAAAGATGTGTTGTCAAACTTTTATGAATATATCTCTGATAAAGTTCTTTTTTACCCTGATGACTACTTCATTATATTAGGAGATTTTAACATACCTAACGCAATCTGATC